CATGTAGTTGCCAGCAACACACTCCTTTCCACCTTCATCCACTGCCGCGCCAATCTTCTTTGCGAAGACATAGAAGAAGGCTCTATCGAAGCTTTGTTGTGGATTTCGCCGGCCGATCGCAAAGAGTCGTGGCTACTGGCGTTTGGCGCGATGCCCTCAAAGAAGAAAGGCCGGGTGGTACAATCTTGCTTCCTGTGGAATTGCAGCATCACATGAGCGTGCAACCTTTCCGTTTTACACAGCTCCAGGGTAGCACACCAATGTTTCACCCTCCAAGTGGACAATCTCCCCTGGATGAACACAAGGAACCTGCGCCATTGATCGAAGTCTTGGAAGGACTGGTAGGTCAGCAGAACAGCTTCGGACTGAAGACGATAGCTGGTGTTGACATCTTTTGAAGCAGGTCTACCTCTGGAACCTGTATGCAACAAAGCTTCTTCCCACGCAGCTTTCGCAGCACGCAAGTCCTGCAACCCTTCCGGATGAGGAGACTTAGAGGCTTTTCGAAAGACTTTACCAGAAGCATGTCGAAGAGCATCTGGTTGGGAATCTCGGCTGACACCTGCTTCAACTCGAAGGACAGCAGCAACCGCAAGCAAAGCATGGACAAAGGCGCGTTGACATGTCTGCAAATGAGAGACCATTGAGGGCGGCAGCTACCTATACACCTGTGAGCTTGTCCACAACTGGGCTATAACAGCAGAGGTTGAACGGATGCACGTTTTGTACATTTTTGCTCTTCGCTGCCCTTCAGGCAGACAAAAGTTTACGCTTGTTAGCCTTCTTACAAAACACTCTGAGGTCAACGACGGATCGAATTAACAAGTCTAATTTTCGTGACAGGCGTGGGACGGTCAATTATCACACTCTTTTAAATTTATAATAATAAAAGTCTTTGTGGGGTGACAAATGACCGCCCACACCTTCCCTTGTCTCATGGTGTAGGATTCTAGGGGGATAGGGTTGTCATGAGTTTCAACATCAACACGCACAACTTTCTTCTGGCCAGTGTATTCCTTCCCCGTCGATTCGATGGGTATCCCCAAGTCTCCTTTTGCACGAGCGCTGGTACACATCGCTCGAGACCATTTCGAGTTTGTCACGGCCGACGATGGGAGGCCGCCTCAACTGGACGTGGAGCAGAGACTTCAGTCCGTCGAAAAGCTTCTGGCAGATATGAGAGGAAGTTTGGCTCGACTGGCGCCGCCACCTCCTGGCTTGACTGTGGACCCACCCCCACGTGCTGCACCCTTGCCTCCTCCACCGGCAAATCCAGTCAAGGGGCAGGCTGCGCCTTCAGCATTCCGCCGGGCATCGACCCCGGCGTTGCTCGACAAGCTCTTCAGAGTGGAGTCACTCCCGAGGCTTTGGCCGAGATAGCAAAAGTGCTGAACATTGGTCAGACCGGGCGTGGCGTATGGTTCGTCCAACTTGGACTCAGAAGGCAAAGGCTGTTTTGTCCAGCGAGGAGGAATAGGAGGAGGAGGAGGCCGGAGATGGGTCTCAAAACCCTGTCGAGAAGGCGGTCCTCCATATTGTCACCCAGCTGGCAACCGAGAAGAAGACCAAGAAGGACCGGACCTTGGAAAGTCTGTTAGATCGAGCCGAGTCTGGCTCAGCGGCTCTTCGCGATGGGTCCATCGGATCCAGCTGAACCAACTCAGCGGCACTGAGGTCGTTGAGAAAGCTTTTGCGCCAGGCCTTGGAACAACGCATGGAGGAGGACTGGAGCCACAAGTGCGGCGACCATCAGCGCCAGAGGTGGGTTGGAACACCGCAGCCGTGTCCAGAACTTCCAGGCGCCTGTCCGAGCCTGCTGGATCTTAGGTGGTGTCTGGGATGCTCTTCGTCAAGGCAAAGTGGACGAGGCCCGCGCTCGTTGTGCTTTGGGCGCCGCTTCCTTCGATCAACAAGGAATCGATCGGGGATCATGGCTGGTGGCTCAGGAGATCAGTCTGGAGGACCCACCTCCCTTCTCATGCTTTGCAGCTCATCGCCCCTAGGAAAATTGGGAGAGTCCCCACACAAAGCTGATAGACGAGCGCTGGCTGGAGTTGTTTCTGGCAAAGTTGCGCGAGATTCACGACTACCAGGACAAGAAGATCAAGTTGAGCTCCAGCCAGAGGACAGAGGACCCTCCTACCGACAAGCCGGTGAAGGAGAAAGGTGCCGGGAAGGCAGGCGACGACGCGAAGCCGTCGTCGACCAGCTAGGCACTGTGACTATGAGCCCTGAGGCCCATGGCCTAGCCGCGCAGAGCGCCGGGCCCAGCGAGAAAGAAGATGAGGCCGTGCGTGTGCCGGGGGCTGAAGCGCCCCTTTGCAGTGTTCAACGATTGTGGAATTCAATGACCAGATGGCTGCGCAAGTCCTCTGGCCCCTTTTCAGCTTTTTTCCGCTCGCTTCTTGACCAACCGCCTTCGACGTCCGGAGGCTCAGCTTCACCTACCTGGCCTATGCCGGTGCCTTATCCAAAGTGGTTCGAACCTGCAGTGAGCAAGGTCGCTGGAGAAAAGGGCTACAGGCACATGTGCAAGCAGAAAGCTGTGAACTTTGCCGTAGTTACTCTCTCTTGGCTGCACCTGAAGCGCGCCAGTGCTGCGCCCCCTGAACTGAGTCTTCAGACGAAGCTGTCTCGGAGACAATGGGCTGTAGTTCGTAGGATTGAGAAAATACTGGATGAGGTAGCCGCGACAGATGCAGTGGGGCCGGAACAGATGGGCCGTACTGCAGCCAAAGTAGAAAGCTTGGACTCCTTGTTGGAGAATTTGCATGGTATGGCCACGAGCAGCAGCACACTCGAGCCTGGTTTTTTGAAGGTCGGCGTCTCTACAGATGCTGGCAGAGTAGTGGGTCATTTGAAGTCTGGCACCCGCGTAGTTGCAAAGGAAGTTGAGACTCATACACTTTCAGTTCCCACAGAGCCGCCTGAATTCAGACCTGGAGATCGACTACCTCCTCACCACCATGCTGTCTTTGAGGACCCTATGAAGTTTGCCAGTGACCCGCTGGCTTCCACCGCCCAGAGTACACCTGCATGCTTCTAGGAAGCAGGCCTTTGATCTTCTGCGCTTCCTGGTCCGTCCGACTCACCTGTGCAGAGTGTTCTCGTTGATCAAAGACCAGAACAAAGATCGCATGATTCTTGATGCGAGGCCTCCCAATCTTTTGGAAGAAACTCTGACGCACTGGACAAGGACACTGGGTTCGGTGACTGCATTGACACAGTTAGAGTTAAGACCAGGACACCAACTATGGATGTGCGGCACTGATTTATGCGACTACACTACTGCTGTCGTGTGAGCAAATCCAGGGCCCGCCGGAATGCTTTAGCTTTTCCTTTGACACCGCAGCAGGCAGCTTTTTTGCAGTGCTTTGATTTGATGAGTCCATGAAGCAGCATGAAATACTATACCCCTGTTTATCTACCCTTGCTATGGGAGACAATCAAGCAGTGGAGTTAGGCCAATGTGCTCATTTGCAATTGGGACTTACCTCTACAGCATTCTCCACGACAGAATTGTTGACAGTCCACGGCCGGGCACCCCGGGGTGATGTCGCCTGTGGAGTGGTGATAGATGATGTTCTGATTGCTGAGCAAGTGCAGCCTGCCACAGTCAGGGTGAAGCACGGTTAGATCGGCTGTGTGAGGAATATCTTCAACGGCGCCTGAAGCCTCATCCCAAAAAGACATTTCGTCGCTCCAACACGGCTGAGTGCTGGGGCGCTTGATTGACGGGAAGACTGGACTAGTCCGAACATCCCCAAAGTGGATCACTAGGCGGGTTGCTTTGCTGGGTTTTGCCACAGTGGGCCTGCTGCAGATTCTGTCGGGGTCATGGATCTCCATCCTGCAGGTGAGACGCCGCGTGTTGTGCCTCCTGGAGCATATTTACTTTGCCCAACAAGGGAGGGGTCAGGATGCCATTATAGCCTTGTCGCCTCAAGCCATATCAGAACTATGGAGCTTGGTAGCTTTGGGTCCGCTGGCGGTAACAGACTTGTCAGCTCGAAGTCATCGGGAATTTTTTTGTGTCCGACGGGTCGGAGGAGTTCACTGCTTCTGTGAAGACCGACCTATGCTGGACCTTTGTGAAGGAGCTCCAGCGGCATTGCTTAGCTCGCGGCACCTGGGGAAAGCTTTTGACCCCCTGGCAGCAATGGCTCAGGTCGCACGACCAGCTAATTCAGATGAGCTCCCATCGGGAGTACCGCTAGTCAGCCACCCGTTGTGGCTGGAGTTGGCTGAAGCTCTGCCTTTCGGCTACATCTAAGCGACGGTGCCTGACCAAAAAGCACATCAATTTGCTGGAGCTGCAGAGCATCCTCGAGCTGGAAGAAAAGCTGGCGCTGAGACATCAAGACTGTCGCTATGTGCTAGCTGCTGACAGCCGGGAGCCATTTTTTGTACAGACAGCGCAATGCTTATCCGGATTGCTGGTCGATGTCCATTTTTTGAAGCTTATATATATATATGTTTAGAACTTAGGATGATTTACATTGACAAGCTGTATCTTAGAACATGGTCTGAGAAACTTGTTTGGTAATTGCGGTTGTATATATATATATAATATCCCGGATTCAAGCATGTGCAGTGTCGGCTGCCATAGCTTCGCATGTACAGTTTGCAGTTGACAGAAAGATCCGGCTTGCAGGTATTGGAGTCAATATGCATACACATAAATCTATATATATATATTTAAATATATTGTTGTGACTTGTCAATAATATACGATATATATACTGATTTCTGCAAAGCCGGTTGAACCAATTTGCAAGTGTTGGATGCATGTGTCTTTAGGAGCTTGGAAGGGGGGAGATGGAGAAAAAGGA